GCTTTGCCCGTTCATTTGGACGTGGATATCTACATTTCCATCCCATTTTATAAATTACCCCGGGAGGACCTCCGATTTGTTTTCGGGAGAATATCCCATCATTCAGGGCTTCAAGTTCAAGTTCAAGTGAGACTGGAACGATAGGATGAATCCCGTAAGTGTTCCTTCTTGATCGGGTAGTCGATCCAGGGGTGCTCCGACTTCTTGAAAGGTCTAAAAGGAAAACGCCCGAAAAAACACCCTGGTTCACCAATTTAATGCCCACGTTCTTTAGATTAGCTGTCCCAGCTGTCAGTTACGTGAAATAAGTAAGAGAGGAAGAAAAAGTGAAGGCAAGAGAGTAGGGGAAAACAGTGAAAAGAGAATAATACCAATGACGAGGAAAAGTAAATAAAATAGAATCGAAGTATGGAGATGGGAATTAGTCAGGAAAAAGGAAAGGTTTCGTGTTGCCACCCAAGAGCGTCTAGTTGACGCTCAAACCCCTTAACCGTAGCTTCCTTGACAACACGTTCTAGAAGCAGGTTTCAGCGCTCGATGTGATAACCGTGTCTCCACTCTAATTTGATCGGACCACAGTTTGTCCAGCTTCATAGAATGCCCGCGAAGACCAGATAACCTAGCAGGACCAAATAGCATGGATAAATCAGGGCCAAGCTTCTCAGCCAAAATACGGTAGGTTAGGATTAGGTCCCCTCTAATTCTTCGAGAGTGCATTGACTGCATCCCCAAACTAAGTAGGCGTTCGGGGTACGTTTGCTCTCGTAATCCCTTGACCAACCTAGTACCGACACGCAACACCCTTCCTAGTGCCATTTTGTCACGGACAAGACATGGTAGACAGGCCTGGACGCAATATTCTAGATGGGGTCGCACAAACGCTGAGAAAAGCTGCACAAACACATCAGCGGTTAGGGTCCCGAAAGAACGACGGATAAACCACAACATCCGGAACCCTTTACTAGCCGCCTTCTCCCAGTTGTCGCTAGAGTGTAGTGCGGAACAGTGGACGACACCTAGGTCAACCTGATGAGTCACGTGAGGAAGTTCACTCCCATCCAGCACATAACTTGTGGAGGGAGCAGACGCTCCGATACGCAGTACTGAACACTTTGCCCGGTTTATGGGCAGCAACCACAAGGCAGACCATTCCCAGAGTCTATCCAGAGCCCGTTCAAGAGTCAAAGGACCTCCAGGGCTAACAACAATATTCCAGAGCTTTGGGTCATCAGCAAATAAGAGCGATGGTACCTCAAGCTCCTCCGGCAAGTCATTCACGTAGACAGAAAAAAGCAGCGGACCTAGAACAGAGCCTTGCGGAACGTCGCTAAGTACAGCTTGTCGAAACGAAAGACTGCTTCCCACACGAATACACTGTTCCCGTCCATCCAGAAAAGCTGACATCCACTGGAGGGTGCGACCAGCTATTCCATACGACCTCAACTTCAGTGAGAGTCGCGAATGGGGGACAGTGTCAAAGGCCTTGGTGAAGTCAATGAACACCACATCCACCGCATGTCCACTGTCTACGGCTTCAGCCCAGCACTCACGAGCTACCAGCAAGTTCGTCTAACACGAAAATCCTTTGGGAAAACCATGTTGCACGACGCAAAACAGGTTAAACCTATTTAAATGGTTCTCCACTCTATCTCGTACTAATTTTTCAAGTAACTTAACGACCACGCTAGTCAAGCTGACAGGCCTGTAATTAGCCGGTACGTCTTTGTCACCACACTTGAAAATCGGGCAGACAACAGCCTCCATCCATTTGGTAGGCAAGACAACTGTTGAGTGACTTCTGGAACACACAAGTCAGAGGTCCACTGAGTTTCACTGCTAATTCATGCAACAATTTTGGATGAACGGAATCTGGCCCAGAAGCCTTAGTTGGGTTTACCTCTCTTAGTAACCGGAGAACTTGGGACTCAGTTACAGGAATTTCATCCAGACAACAGTCCTCAGAGACTCTTGAAGCTAACTCTGCACGGCGTGTTTGTTTCGCGGACGAAGACGCTTGAGTACTGCTTATCAAGTACGCATGCCTTGTCATAGTCGCAATAGGCATGGGTCCCATCTCCTTGAAGGAATGGTGGTATGGGCGAGTTTGCACCATAGCGTCGTTTAACGTAAGCGAAGAATTTCTTGGGATTTTTCGAGGCAGTATTAGCTAAGACGTTTTCATACTAAAGCCGGGCCAACCTAAGATGTAGCTTGCACTCATTTCGAACCAACCGATACTTGTCAAATGTGCTGTTAGACGGAGCTGTTCGGTATGCTCACCAGCATCTAGACCGCTTCTTTAGCAGGCGCTTCCCCGCAGAAGCTATCCACGGTGGCTGCGCTCTCGATTCCCTTCTTTTTACCAGTGGGATGTGAGGTGCAGATACGTCGACGAGGTGAGCCTTAAGCTTTCCCAGGCTGTGAACAGTATCGGTCTCAGATATCACACAAATCAATGGCTTAGCTTTATCCCGCATCGCTTGGAAGTCCGCGGCCCAAATGTTCGGATACCAACTGGTAGTAGCTTGGCAAGACCTGATGAGAGCACACTGGAAAAACAAGCAAACGTGATCGTTAGCGCCAAGAGGCGAGTCGTATTTAATGTCATTTACAAAGTCAAGTGACTTAGCAAAAACAAGATCTAAAATGGACGGCTGCTGATTGCTCATGTACCTAGTGGGGAGGGGTGGGCGTCCTCGCGGTATACTCAGCCCGCGCGCGACTGGTGGTGGTCGCGCGGCAGCGAAGCGCCGTTACGGCGTATAAGCTGACATTTCATTTTTCTTTAGTGGGGAGGTCCACGAACTGGTGTAGTGGTACTTGCAGCGTCAAGTCCAGCAGTTCTGTACAGAACGATTCCAAAGCCGAACTGCAAGATAGATCATCCCAACAAACTTCTGGGAGGTTGAAATCTCGCAGCACCAGACAATGGTTAGCAGAGTGAGTGCGTATAAACTCAATGATTCCATTGGAGGTGCTCATAGGGCTTCTATACACTAACACGGCAGTAACCTGAACCGAGGAAGCGCAAATCAAGACTGCGAGAGCCTCAACAGATTTGTCGAGAGACTGAAAAACGCTGATCCTCAGCACGTCGATGTGATAACTAACATAATATATATATTTGCAAAAGTCTACGAATAGACAATGCCATCAGAAAATATGGGATTCAAACGAAAGTACAGAAATATTAAAATAAAACACAACACAACATAAAGTGCTACACCACCCTCTTGACGGCCAGTTGAGCGGTCAGCGCGGAACAGTGAGTAGCCAGGCAGATATACTTCGCCATCTGTGATTTCCTCAGACAGTCACGTTTCGGTGAAAGCAAGTACATATTTCTTTGGATATCCCTTGGAGACTTCAGACGGTTTTACAGATGAGCAACACATCACATTCAAAAAATATTCAATTCCTTATCTACCAATCGGGCCGAACCATCTAGTCAGGAGACGGAGCGTCGGATCCGCCACTTGCGATTCAGATTCAGATAGACTGGAACGATAGAAAAATCCCTTGAGTGTTCCTTCTTGAGCAAATCGTTGGACCAGGAAATGATAAGGTGCTTGTTCCTGATAGATCTAAAACGAAACACCCGAAACACACCCTGATCAACCAATTACTGCCCAAGTTCCCCGCACTAGCAGTCCGTGCTGTGTAGGTTACGTGAAGTAAGAAAGAAGTAGAAAGTAAATGGAAGATAAAGGGGAATGAAAGTCATTAAAATGAAGAATACCAGAGTGAAGAGAATGAGAGAAGAACTAAAAGTTTGAAGATGAATATGGTCAGGAGAAGGGAAAGGTTTCGGGTTGCCACCCAAGAGCGTCTAACTGACGCTTGAAATCCTTAACCGTAGATTCACTGACTACACTTGCTGGAAGCGAGTTCCAGTGCTCGATAACTCTACGCGACAACCGAGTTTCCGCCCTGATCCGGTCAGAAGACGGCTTGTGTAGCTTCATGGGATGACCGCGAAGACAAGGCAACCTAGCCGGGATAAATAGCCAGCTCAAGTCCGGTCCAACCGTCCCTGTTAAAATGCGGTAAGTAAGGATTAGGTCTCATGGAAGCCGTCGGTAGTGCATTGAATACATACCCAAGCTAAGTAGACGCTCGGGGTACGATTGCCCCCGTAACCCCTCCACCAATTTGGTACCTACTCTCAAAACCCTCTCAAGCTCCATTTTGTCCCAAACAAGGCAGGGCGGGCAAGCCTGGACTCAGTATTCCAGATGGGGCCGGACGAAAGCTGAGAACAGCTTCACAAATATGTCGGCAGTTAAGACCCCGAAAGAACGGCGTATTAAGCACAACATTCTGAAACCCCTACTAGCGGCCTTCCAGTTGTCACCAGAATGCAAACACGTAGAATGGGCGACACCTAGGTCTACCTGGCTGGGGACAAGGGGGAGTTCGACCCCACCGAGTACGTAGCTCGAAGGCGGGAAAGTTGCTCCTATACGAAGGACGGAACACTTAGTCTGATTTATGGG